GATGGAGCTTAACTATCTCGTGCACCTTTTTAAAAAGTTTATAATAGAAAAAAGGAGCATCCTTTTCTTTTCTTTTCTTTTCTTTTCTTTTCTTTTTTCTTTTCTTTTCTTTTCTTTTCTTCAGATTGGTTGAGTTAGCCAGTTGCCACAGCAATAACTTAACGAATGCACCAACTCCTTTAGGTTTAAGGTGCTCTGATGCCGTCTTGAATATGCCAATAAAAGGCCCTTGCTTGACTTGGCAACCTCAGTTTGGGACCGTGGCCTGCTTAAAAGGTGCTTTACCCCTTTTGGGTTGAAAGACTTTGAGCTGGAATAGTGACGCTGTGCACAGGTGTTTCACCGCAACGTTTGCCTTCCTGCCGTTAAAATAAGGGGATGTATCCAAATGACCACTTTTCGTTTTTTCTAACCCAAAACAGAGAAAGTGGCTAATGCAAAAGAAGAAAACTTCAATATGCATCAGATGCTGGATCAAACTTTACTGGAGTTAAACAACATGTGATAAGTCTCTTAACTGGGACCGTGCCAACATCAGTTTCATTTCTGGTTTTGTTTTGTTCTGTTCTGTTTTTTTTAAACACCTGCTTGCCATGAAACCCCTTGAAATGTGTCCTTATTTTATAATTTCCCCCCCATGTTGCCGCAATCAGTCACAGGCCCATCCTCTCTATCCTGGCGTGGAGTCGGGAAAAAGATTGAGACGGGGAGCAAGATGGAGGAGTTAAGCGGGGCATCCATTTGCCAGCCTCAGGGTGCCATCCTTCAGACCTCCTGCTGCCTACGTTTCGGATGGGGCTGGTTAATGCTGATTGTCCGCAGGCTTGAGAAATGGAAATATTCTTTCATTAGTATTGCCAACGTAGCTGTAATTCAAAGTTTAATTGTCAGGAACGCAGGAGGCAAGGTGAAGGGGAGAGGGGATTTTGACTGGCATCTCGTGAAAGGAAAGGATGCTTCGCAGGCCTCCAGCTTCTTTTGTGTAACTCGGCAGTTTCTCGGGACAAGTAATTGGATTTTCCTGGAGGAGCCTGAGGTTCAGCATTAAAAGAAACTTCGAACGTAGGCAGCATTTTGGTCTGCAAAAAGGCTCTGTGGCGGCCCCGAAGATCTGTTGCGCTTGGGAGTAACCCTTACTTTTACATGGAGTACTTCCCACTGCATTCTGTGTTGTCTGAAGCTGAAGGGAACCAAATACGTTTGGTATCTGCCACCTGTTTGTTCGACACACCTTTCCCTTGTTTTGTTTTGAGCAATTTTGGAGAATCATTTCTGTATGTAAACATTGTATAATTGATAATGGAATAAAACACACACTCTAGAACATTTTTTAAAAAAACAGTTGTAGCCTTGTGGTCTTTATTCCCCTACCTGAAGGGCTCTGTAGGTTGAATTAGTGGAACAGGGAAATAGAGAGATCTGGGCTGAAGTCCATCCACGTTAATCCAAAGGTTCCAGTCTTTTTCCCAAGCTTGTGGGTTGAGCATTGCAGGAGCCTTCGTTGTTTACATCATGCTCTTTGTCGACAGCAAATTCACGACTTTCCCCTTGTGAAAATTCTGGGCTGCAGAAACAAATGGGTTATGCTGAGAGGTGCAGATGAAGGTGCTTCAAGCTTTGGGAGTGTTGGTGGGGAGGTCCCCGGCTTGAGGTGCTCCTCACAGTGTCTCTCTACTCAGACATAATGCCCAGACAAAGGACCTTCTGCTCTCCATCTCTGTCTTTGGGGAAGATAGTGGCGGGCTCTACTGTAGGAAAGGGAGGTGGCAAGACCCCTTAAAGACAGTGAGATGCCACTGAGTCAGGGTTAATTCCTGGTGACTGGACAGAAGCTCCCCATCCCAACAGAGGTGTAGTGTTCTGCTCCATGCTATCCCGGTCAGATTGCACCTGGAGTACTCGGTCCAGTGTTGGTCACTCCATACAGGAAGGATGCTGAGGAGCTGAAGAGTGCGGAGAAGAGCAACAGAGATGGTGAGGGGCTTGGTGACTACATCCTATGAAGAACGATTAAAGGATCTGGGTACGTTTAGCCAAAAGAAGAAAAGGCGAAGAGACACGATCGCAGTTTTCCAATCCTTGAAAGGCTGTCCTTGGGAAGGTGGTGTGGACGTATTCTCCAGGGTGCCCAAGGGTAGGACAAGAGCCAGCAGTGGAAGCTTTAGAGAGAGATCCAAACTTGAAATAAGGAGAAATGTCCTGACTGCAAGACCTATTAAACTGAAACAGCCTGCTGCTTGGAGTTGTGGGGGCTCCATCATGGGAGGTTTCCAAGCAAAAGTTGGGCAGCCGTTTGTCTGGGATGGTCTGAGGATTCCTGCTGGGCAAGTTGGTCTAGACCAGCGTGTCTCAATCTTAGCAACTTTAAGACGAGTGGACTTCAACTCCCAGAATTCCCCAGCCAGCCATGCTGGCTGGGGAA